GGGGCACGCGGTGTACGTCTTCGCTGGCGACATTCGGAATAGCATGTGAGTGCGCGCTGTACTCGCCATTTAGTCTTGCCCATAGTCTCTGCATTCCAGTACTACTTGGCCACATCGACTCTGGTTGGAAGTGGCATTCCAGCAGTGAAATTCGGACGCGGATAGGGATATCCTGAGGGGGTATTTCAAATTCCAACGCTGAAGATGGAAGTAAAATTGATTCTCTTGACACTGACTTCAAATTGCCAGATTGCTTACCTTCTCGTAGTCAACTTGAGACGTTTTCTTTCTTCCGAGGAATTTAACCAAAATTATGGTTCAGGCACTTAACAACCTGTTAAACTAATAAGCCACTGCCGCCTGGTAGAAAGTGGAGTTAGTAGAACTGCAGTAATGTCTGGTGGTACCTATTTCTAATTAAACCGGCACAAGCAGTAAAGTATTTAAGTAAAAGATATTCAAATCAGTAGTTCCAAAATTCTCACTGTCATGAGCGGCATATTTGATAAACAGGGGCGGTTTTGCCCTAATTTTGTAGTATATGGTCGCATGAGGTTTCGGTAAATGGGTTATGAACTTGTAGAGTTTTGGCTTTGTCTAAAATCTCAGAACCAAACCCTTCGTTTTGAGAGAACAACCAACTGCTTCCTCCTTTCCACAAACCAGACTTTTCCCTTGAATGTCTCAACGAAAATGTCCGTACAAATTTGCTGCTTGACGGTTGGTTCTTACGCATGTTTAATTAGATCGGGTTAGTCATGTTTGGAGTGCCAGAAAGTTGGTTTTATACAAAATGGGAAACTTTGCACTTTTATTCACTGTGCTCTTAGAAAGGTGCCAAAAGCAACGAAGCCGCAGATAAATTCAGCTAGATAGAACGCCAGCTGGCCGACTGCAAGTATCAATTCCAGATAGAGAATGTAGCTCTGCCAGATTGCCACCCAAACACAACCAACCACATTTATAAATAACAGAGCGACAGCGGTTAGGGTAGAGGACGGTCGTTCAAGGAAGTTTCCGGCGACCGCAAACCTCAGTCGAATTGCCTCAACAGCTGAGAGGACGAAGAGGTACACGACTTCACTGGCTAGAACGACTCCATCGTAGGGCAGGTGCAGGCCCTTGAACAGGAAAATGAGGTATTCAGAGAAAAAGAAGAGGACGGAGTAACAGATATTGAACCGGAGAATGAGGTCGTACGGGGCGGAGGCCAGAACAGGGTAGACAACTTTCGAAGTAAATGGGTCCATAGGCGACAAAAGACCTAGAAAATGTAAAGTAAAGCATGCATTTACAGTGAAAACGTTTTATCAGAATTTATCTGACATAAGTGTTGCCCTCGTCATCAATGCGGGAATTGTGAGGTGGGCGGTTACTGGTTTCGATCAAATTAAGGAAAACGAAGCACGCGATGTAATTGAGGGTCCCTGCTTACGCAGTTCAACATTTTGGGTGTCATGAATATCACGGCATGACTAATCTATTTAAATCTGATTGAGTAGTGAAGTAGTTAATACTGGTAAAGTTTTGTGCATCGGGACTTCTTCTTTTAAAATAACGATCATCAGATACGTTGCTTTTTAAATCGAGAGCTGAACCGCCGATCAGCTAAACGATCAATTTATTTGATAACTGACAAAAACACATGTTAAATACTACGAGCAACCACTAGTTTCCTATTGTTTTTTTTTATATACGTTCAAGCAAGAATTTGCGTGTAACTGACGGAGAGCCACTTGGAATGCAGGCGAACTTTTAGCATTCTCAAGGCTGTCTCGTCGCTTATGATCTGTGTTCTGGTGTGGCGGTTATTCAATGGGTGTACACGAAAGTCGTGACAACCCTATGACCATTAAGTAGTCGGCTGACCGTCCGACTCCTCAACGGATGCGGCGTTTTGTATTGTTTCTGCTGAACTGGTATATTCACGGAAGTTGACAACGATATATTTCATGCAGATATAAAACAGTCGCCACGTTAGACAAAACGATAATTACCTTGAGATATTTACTGAAAAATTTAAAGGAAGTCTTGGTTTTGCAGTGCTAATGTGAGACGCCATTTTGCGGGTTATCAAGGACCAATGCTTTTATTGTCACACCATTACTAGCTTCCGCTGAAGCAAACAAACCGGTTCAGTTCCTACCGGTTCCAGCTTTCGTCTCTCAAAAGTTGTGGGAAAAACCCTTGATACGGCGTATTAAAAATATAAGTCCTTAAAAAATACATTGAAATGCATATGAGTGTGTGGTAGCTCGGTGACCCCATTGCTGTCGACCTCAGAGCACTCGTGAAAAATACATGTGAAAATTTTGTAAAAATATTCATAATGCGAAGGACCACAGAATTCTATCACTTCAATCAGCGATTGAAAGCTATCAGGTTAGACAATTGGGTTGCAACTTCTGATCTTATAGCCTGTGATTTAATGGGGTATAAGATAGTTTTCTGATCAAGACATTTGCTTTCTGAGTGTATACAAATTCCCGTTTGCAACGATTTGTTTTGGCCATTGAGAAGCTGATCATACGCCATAAAAAACCCCAGATCATTGGACAACAAATCTGGTGAAACCTAGTTTTGACCATATTCTGGTGACAGCACTGTAGTGATATTAATCTCCAGAGACCTTCGAACGCAGCAGTTCGGTTGAATGCCATCACCATTTCAATTGAGTTCCCCAGAAGCACACAACTTAGGGACCGCAGAGCCGAAATTTTATCAAAGACAAGGTTCCTTTTACGACTAACTGACGGTAGGAAATTTGCGGTTCAAAGTGTTACTTATGTATAATTATAATTTTTATTGCTTCTTACTTGATTTTTCTGATCTAATTAAATTTCGTGGATTAGACTTCCTCAAGCGTCAAAACCTATTGCATCAGGTCGAATAATATCCAAGCGCTTTTCTCTAAAAGTGAAGTCAATATGTTATATAGCATATTCTTAGGTATATGTGTACCTAAGAATCACCAGAATTCAGTAAAAATGTGTTGAGCTGTGTTTCCGACTGTCCATCATTTAGCCGCTATCGATAGATTAGTAAATTTAAATCATTTACATAATCTATGAGGTACTAACGTGAATGATAAAAAGCATACCCGTCTACTGTGAGATATATATTTTGAGTAGCCAGGATATCGCAATACTTCGATGAATACGACTTGTCTCGCTTGAGGTGTGACAGACGGAGGGCTGACTGGATGAACGCCTGATGCACGCTGGTAGCTGGGTCGATTGAAAATCGCAACAGACACACAAGTACTTTTTCGGCACGTCAAAAGTCATTCGTACGTCATCTATCCAGGAAAGTGTCGCTTTTGCCCTGTCCGCTTATCGACAGAGTGCTCTCAAGCCATCGCATGTTACCAATTCTTCAATTCCAAAACCGTTGCTTACACAAGTCTATCCGTTCGTAGGGATTGGCGAATTTGAGTCTGATGTCTTTTAATAATGAGTGGATACGGAGTTTTAGACAAGTACTTATGGAGTCGTGGACCGGTCTTCTTGGCTTAACCACCTCTGTGTCGTCCCCGGTGAAAGGTTGACGTCGAAATTAGGGCATTAACAGCTGTTTTTACGATATGTTACAGTTCGTGCATACCAAGTGACCCGACAAATGTCTATAAATATCCCGACTGCCTGTCTTAAATCAAGAATTGCCAAGTACGCCACAATTTGTTTAATCTGTCAGACGTACCTTTCAGCACTCACCGAGGCGGAAATGGAAAGAATTTTCATTTTTAGTAGTAGCAAAATCATCCCACTTGCACGTTCGAAGACTGAGCGAGGTCCGCATCCAGCAGCTATTCGGCTGAATATATAATCCAATTTCAGTTATTCTAGAATAACTAGCTAGTAAGTAACTGAGATCCCTTAATTAAGTAGAATACCCAGTGACTCTGGATCCAATTTCATTACAGACATGCGCCTAGAAGTCTTTAAACCATTACCTGCCGTGAAAAAACGACAACATGAATAAGCAAAACGGAGGAAAACTTCGGGTTGTTACTGAATACAGGTCGATATCCCCGGAGTATTATAATTAAATGCAGATACACTGATAAGATGTAGTCCAGGTCATATATCTGACATGGTTATGCCGACATAATGCGAGTGTGTAGGTGGTTAATTTTTGCCGATATTATGTTATCACATTTGGATGTACTTGCCGGAAATATATAGGACTTATGCCAATATTTCGAACACATGTTGTCTAACTCAGTGAGTTGACTATGTAGAACGTCATAATTTACTAGCATCTCATAACAGAAAATTTAGGACCACGCTTTATTAAAAGATAAACAGTTTCTACTTTAAATGGCTCCTTTTTAAAAATTGCGTATTTTAAAAGGTTGCGCAAGTGCGCCATTAGTAATGGTTGTAGGTTGTTGCCATGCGTCAGTGCCGTTCAAGGTTAACGGATTGCAATTCACCATGGGTAGCAAAAATTCCAATGGCAGCATTCGAAAGACTTGATGGAGTTCATATGCTTCGTTTTGATAAATTCTTGTCAGGCCAGTACAAGGTCAAGTAAAACTAGGTGATCTGAAATATCTAGGCTGAAATCAGGTTGTCAAAGTTTAGAGTTGCAGACTGCCTCTCATTCTGGAGGAGGGCCAAGTATTCTTGTCATCTGATAGCCCTTTCAGTAAGGCCTCTTGACATGTCCTTATAGATTATAGTTCGTTAGCTTTATGGTGATGAGGTGCCTGCTGGCAAATCATGGATTTGGACTCGAAAAATGCCGACCTCTATCTCGTTCTTTTCTAATGCGTCCGCTAACTGTCCGTGCTTATCTGGCAAATAGTACTAAATTATGAACCAAATCAATCGAATTTTAATTATATATAGCGCATTGGAAGTACCATTTAAAGTTCCATGAATATTTGCAAGTTAGAACAGATTTTAGGACAGTTTGCGTGATTATGCAATGTTGAAAATACAAAATGATAATTGACGAAGTGAGGGGGTTCGCCGTCTTAGGCTTACTATGATTCTTACTCTCCGGAGAGCTTATTTAGCTCACCAACGCCAGGACATTTGATGTAGAACAACGAACTAACCCAAAAGATTGGCCGTGCTGGGCGATCTTGAGCTGACCGATTTTTCTTTTTTCGTTGCCCCGGCCTTTAATTGGATGTATGGCAGGGTTCACGACTGGTTGAATCGCAAGTCGTCACCTTGGTTAACTATGGTTAAGCCTTTGTTGGTACCAAACGTACTGGTGGCTGCTTTGTCCCCCTTCTTATGTATTTTGGGTCGGACACAACGATAAATGTATTGAAACTTTTTTCTGTCCCTTTATCTACGTACATATGTGTTTAAGTGCTGCAGGCAAAGCCTTTTATTATTTATACCCAGTGATTTCGCATACTTGCATATAAAATAATGTTGCAATCACTTAGAATATAATCGGTTCCAAAGACAACGTTAATAATAACAAAGACATCCAGTAGCGTTTAGCGCAAAGCTGGTTATGATACTGGAGGCTGAAGAGACCAATGTGTGTATAATAGACATAGAGCAGATGGTTGAATAAGCTCTGAAAGTCAGACTTAATCAACGGATATTTAACTCCTTTACACATAATCTAGGCCGAGTCTGTTCGAGTCGTATCAAAAGACGGCAGATTAATTACTAAGGCGTCACAACTAAATAGATAACCTGCAATGCAAATTGCTGGTCCGAATGTATAAACTGAAAGTCCCTTAGGCATGGGAGTCTCGACAGTAATTTCGAACAAAACACGACACTTGACCTCGACCAAACGTTTGATGCTTATTCCACCCCGAGGAAAAATATAAAATGTGGAGACCAAGGAGAAATGGGTGTTAGAAGCACGTGTCAGTGGCCTCTGCCTACAAAATAAAGTTAACACAAAAGCAGTCGGACTTCTCAATTATCGTCAGAATGACAATAGCATATCAAGTAGGTAACTTTCGCAATTGCGGAGTACCTTACCTCCAAAGCAGAAGTACTAATTCTAACTACAATACCACAAGTAAATACAATAACCAAGCACGTAATCCACCTTTTCGTGTAGAGCTTGATTCATGTAGATGAACACTGCCATATTTACAGGCACGCCATCCCGCATTCTGTTAATTTCGCAATTTCTCCATAGGGACAAGCAGGGCTCCCAAAAAGCACGTTTTATTGTTACCACAATACGCCTCCCTCCTATCCAGCGACAGTTGCTTTGTCAATATAAATGCATATCCAGTAGGCAGGAGATAACTAAACTTGAGGTATAGTACGCTGATGTCACCTGCCTAAAAGAAACGTGGAAATGATGCATCGTTGTTCAGTGAAAATTTTATATTTTGTCGACGGGGCCGCCGAAATAAAAGAGATAAGCATGTTTGTGATGCATCAATGCTATTCTTGGACAAGTTACTCACTCTCTGGGACGCAGGATTTGTTGAGGTAAAGCGAGTTTATTACAAACATAACTATATGACTTGTTTTAATCAGCGCCCATAAGGGCACTTTCATAGTAAATAAACATAAATTTTTAAGTTACTTCTGGAACGAGTACGCAAACACAGAACAGGGCTCTGCTTTGTCCATAGGAAAGGAAGTCTGTTACGAAAAACGTTTAAAAAACAGTAAAAAACCTTCAAGTTTGTTTAAAAATCTAAACTGAGGGTAATTTAACTAGTTTTTGACGAGAAAAATCTGTCGCTCAAGGGAAAGTAAGCGTGTATCTGACGGACCGGCCTTGCAGGTTAATGTATATAAGTGTTCAAAATGTCCCTCGTCAAGGTAGAATCCCTAAACTGGTTGAAGCTATTCGCTGCAGATGCGTTCGTAATATTTTTGGGACCAGAGCAGGAGCAACCGTCAAGGTGGCGAAACAGGAGGAATCTAACGCGATTGGTCTCACTGCGCTTAGAGTTCAGCTGAGGAAGGAATATTAGAGGCTGCGCCGGTTATCAAAGTCCGGGGAGATGCGATCATGATACTCCTTTGCTGACCGACTTAGCCACTAGCAAGTGGTGAAAGCATAAAAATCCACCTTATTGTCAACCGACCGCTTGATGTTGAAATGGGGAGATGGCATTTAAATCCGCCAAAATCATCGTCGAGGGGCAGTAGTAACACTTGAGTTTTAACAGCCAAATGAAAGTAGGGGGTTGTAAAATTCATGTGAGAGCTTCTGTTTGAACAAGTAAAGCATGTGTTGTCTGCCATTAAATCTCAGAAGAACACTTTCCAAAGTCCAAAGCCTATCTTTTCGGATTCTACTGTTCCCCAATTTCCTTATAATAAACTAGAAAAATAGAGAAGGAAGCCGCAAGACGTACACACAAGTTTTTAGTCTATTCTCTTAAGAAACGGGAGAGTTTTGAATATATGTTGAAAATGCAGTAGATATTCCAACTCACATAATTTCATGAGTTTTGCGGAGGAATCCCTGTAACGAAAACTCGAAAATTACACAGAGACACGGAAAGCACTCTTCGCAAAATGAGGACAGTGTTTGCCTCGTAAAATAATATTTACTCAGCACTCACTATTAATAAGGCAACACCAATCGGCTCTAAATGATCTACGTCAGGGTGCTGATGTTGTTATCTCGAGACCTAAGAAAGGACGCGATGTCGTGATTTTAAGCAAGACTATTACCTGCATGACAAGGGGCGATATTGAGTGACCCCCCATATTTTTTCTCCAAATCTCTTTGGAAAGAAGAGAGAAAAGCACTGGAAAACCCTATTGGGAAAAGACGAAACCATTAATCGAAAAGCAAATAATAATCAAGAATGCGGCCGCATGTCTTGGCATACAGGTTCCCATATTCCTAGACTATACGGGCTGCTCAAATTGTACAACCTAGGAGCACAGTTTGGACTAATTTTATTGATAAGAGGTTCGCTGCAGCACGAACTCGTCCAGTGTTTAGTACAACAAATCGACCCAAACCGGCTGGACCTTGCTGCCTGCACTACAAAAAGCACGTTCTCATTTTCAGATGTGCTGAAGTACCAAAATTTACAGAGTACATACATAAGCTTGCTGGCGTGCAGAGCCTGCTTACGAATGTGCCGCTGTTCAGTTCAATCCAGTTTATTGAGGGAAATAGTCGCGAGCCTTTGAGTGCCCTATTTACATCGCAAAATTGAATATCGTATACGGAGTAAACATGTGGGTTGGTATAATTCAGACGACCCATAGCAGTATGGCAAAATGAGCATGAGTTTCAGGTGTTGAGCTCGGTCTCTCATCGTTTATGCCCACTTCGGATCAGTAATATGCCAGGGTTTCTTCTAAAGATTTGTGTCGACGGTGACATCACAGCATGTGCGGAGAGACAATTCCATGGTTTGACCACTCTGACAGATAAGGAGAACTGTCGGGCGTTCAACCTCCACTGTTGAGTGCGCTGTTTTAACGGGTGACCTCTGAGGTTGATCGTTGTAATGAAGTCAGAAACGTCCTCAAAGGTCAGGCCGCAGTCCAATCTTTTCACGATATGAAATGCTTGTAAGGGATCTCCGTTCAGCTGGCTGTAACTCGATTGGATTAGGTTCAGGTCTGTTTGGCGGGTTATATAAGGAACGCAGCTTTAAATGGATTATAATTTATGCACATCCAGACGAACATGTCTGGCACCAGGGTTACCGCGGGAACTGGAGCAGATAAACAAGAAGAATGTGCATTTCTTGTCCAACGAAGGATAGACGGTGTAGCTATGGGCGGTACATTGGGGCAGTCCTAGCGGACATTTCCATGTC